CAGAACTGCCTCCCAGCAGGATGAGAGAGCGAATTAATTAACAGGTCTAATATATCACTTCGGCCTGACATCCCCTCAAGAACTCATTTGTGACAAGAAAGTGTGAAGACCCATCTCACTGTCAAAGAGACTGATAAAGACCAGTCTCCTAATGATGATGACATGAGTTAAGAAGTCCACAAAAACGGGCCCTATGTTGACGAAGTGCATCATTGGTTGTCCACCACCCATTACAGTTGACATAATTATGTCAGAGTTGTAAAATGGACATGGACAACAGACTGCATTGCACCATAATAGTTTATTTGCAATCTGGCCAATTGCGTGTCTTCTACAGGCTTCTTGGAAGTAAATCACTGGTTTCCAGAAGTCCGAAATGGCACGGTTATTGTACTAAACATACCAATTCATGCCGGGATTGTTCTCCCCCGAGGTTGGCAAGAGAACCAGCAGAGCAGGATACAACTTGCCTTGGTCTGCTGGTGCAGAGGCAGGCTGAGACAAATATGCAGCTCCCTATTTGGAAGGCATTATCCCCTCTGAAGTGTGAGGCTATTTATGTTGAGTGTGGGTGTATGTAATGAGTGTGGCCATACCAATGTACCAATTAGCTTTGTGTTCCACATGCATGTCTGCCTCACCACTTGTTGGGAATGAAGATGTGATTTTGACAGAAATCATGGCAGCAGTGATGTCGATACAGGGCTTGGATAATTTTGATTTTTAAGCCTAATATCAGGATTAATTAAAAAAAAAAAAAGTTTCCAAAAATTTTTTGTCCACGAGACATCCTTAATTGAAAGCAAGGATAATTGAAATTAAGTATAAGAATGTCCCGCAGACTGCCAGTTTAGCCCTGATCAATTCTGCAATAAATATGTCCTCAAACAAAAATGCATCACATTTATCATGTTGGAGGTTATACAATGACACAAAGTGGCCACTAATTGGTTTTTAATCAAAGGAAAGTATCAGTCCAGAATACTGGCAAACTAATTTAATTCTAAACTGAGTTAGAACAATAATTAGTATCTTGAACAACTTTAAAATGGATCAGAAAACACATTGTGGAAGAAAACATAGTGATTTAGCAGTTTTCCCTTCAGACTCCAATATGTATGCCACATCTTTTGATGTGTGTTTTATTAGTTTTATCTCCAAAGTACACCTCTGCACCCTTTAGCAAATGGCTGTGTTCAGCAATCATTACACACATTACATGAAAACTGGAGAGTAGTGGGCCTTATCATGTCATGTTTTCCAGATAGTGATAGCTAACAAGACACAAATGTGGGAATGGGCGGGGGAAATTGTCTCAAATGAAAACTGCAAATAACACCAGTGTCAGTTAGCAGTGTGGTCAGTGCAGCTGAGTAGTTTTCTTTTGCTGTTTGCAGGTGCAGCTGGAGAGAGGCCTGCAGAGAATTGAGCAATTTATTAGACATTTTTAAAGTAATAGGTAGTCTGTTGGACTTTGATTGAATTCTTGTTTATTAAACAGACTTGGGCAATTCTTTGCTGACTTGTACGTTCATCTCAGAGGAGAAACATGCATTCCTAATCTGAAAAGTATTTTTTTAAACACTATCAGTGGATATTTTCCAACCGGCCAGGCTCCTCTACCCTCGCACTTGTTAGACCCCCCCAGTCTATTACATTCCCCTCCTTTTCTAAAAGACTGCAATTAATCTAATTAGTAATCAATCAGCCATTGGGCCTCCTGCCTCCTCAGTGCTAATGGAGGATATGACAGGCCTGGACCTTGCATTATTAATACCTCCATTCCTGGAGCACAGGGCCCCCCTGACGTCCACAGCCAGGGGCCATTGATCACTACCACAACCCAGTGAGCACTGCAAGACCTATAGGGAAATTTTGAGCGTAGTTAAAGTGGAGATGGGAATGTGGTGTGTCAGTGTGTGTGGGATGAATCTGTTTAGGGGGCTTTAGGGTAATTTTGGTACAGGAATAATTTTACCACATATGCTCAGGGGAAGTTGAATAGATCCAAAAATTCTAAAAGCGAGATGTTTGCTTGGTGGCGCATGAGTCTGCAGGGAAGCTCATGGTGCACGTTTGAAGGAAATGAGGGATTGTGTTGGTGTTAATAGGAATGTTGTGCTCTGAAAAGCTCATTTGGTTAATGGGGCTCACCTCACAGCTATTATGGCAGGATAAGGGGGGCCCTCTGCAGGACTATATCTAGAAATGAGATTAGAAATTATAGGATGCCACTAATGCTGGGGCACAATGATCGCAGTGGGGCAATGAAACAATCATAGCAACATTATCCTTCGTCTCCTATGCGTTCTATGAGCACCCAATCAAATAGCCCCAGCAGCTGAAGTTACAGAGGTTGATAATAGTCCCACCAGCTGTTCTCATTCACTAAAATTGATATTGGAACCTACTCTGTGCAGGCTGGGGGGGGGGGGGGCACTGAATAAAAAAACTTTCTTGCTCTCTGTTAGCTTTTAGCTCCAACAGACAGACACAGGGCCTTCCTGTGTCCTCTTTAAATGAATTTGCTAACCTGAATTTATCGAACTTGTGTGCCAGCACCTGCTATCATGTTGATTATGCAGTCTACATGTTGTGGATGTTGTTAAGGACATGCTGTTCAAGATAATTCGATATCAACTTTCAGAGGAATCTAATCATTATATGATCAATTGATGATTTTAAATAATCCGGTAGTGAAATGACACAACAGTTATTTGGCTTGATCGAAAATTACTTGGAAAAACTGATTCAACTTGCGATGGGATCACACCATCTGCCAGGGGCATAAAGTGGGGGAGGCAGTGGCCTTCTTCCTACCCCTTACTTGTGGCGCCCTTTCTTGAACCACATCCATCTTCAAACTCTGCCTGCATTTTGAAATCAACTACACCTGTAAATTTTGTGACAGCATATTGTACAGATGTGATGCTGTCGCATTGAAAAGATACACACACACACACACACACACACACACACACACACACACACACACACACACACACACACACACACACACACACACACACACACACTTGGCTCAAATGGCCCTATTGGCCGTTCTGTGGTAGTTCTGATACAGTAGCTGTCTCCAGGACCTTGTTCCAGCTGTGCGATATTGCTGTAAACTTAATATCTGGATTTCGGACTGTTGGTTGGAAAAAACAAGCAGGTTGAAGATGTCACCTGCATCTTTAGGAAACGGGTCTATCAAATCTCAAATTAGATTACACAAAAAATAATTGAAACTACTTCAGCCCTACTTCAAGGAAAAAGACGATGTGATAATGACTTCAACCCATTCTCCCAGCCTTAATGATGCTGATGATTTTTGACGAGAGAAACAGCTGTGGCCTATCCACAATGCGATCGGTGTGTGGGAAGGTGGAAGTAAGTGGTCAGAGGTTGTGTGTAAAAGAGCCTAGTAATCTTTAAATACAATTTCAGAGTTGACATCACTCTTTACTCCACCAACCCACTTCCCATGACTAAGACCTGGTGTCATTTGGCAAGGCGGCCACAACCTTTCCGCTAACCAGCCATGCATTCTGACTTTAGCGCCACCCCCTCGTCTTTACACCACCAGTTAAGTTACCATAAGCCAGCATGCCAAGGCTGTCGCATCGCTCTGCTTAATTTGCAGAAGGCTGGGCTAAAGTATTTACAGGCCTTCAGAGGTTTTATGAAGCCACGGTGGGAGTCAGCGGTGGTGTTGAGCTCACAGCAGCTGCAGTCAGCTGCTTCATTCATGAGGGATTGGGAAAGCAATGCAGCAAGTGAGTCAGTGAGCTGGACATGCTTTATTCATGGAAATAGGATGTGAGGAATCACTCTGCGGCTACAACCTCCAGGCCCCCCTCCTCATTTGTGTGCCATGAGGGTGTAGGTACATAGCTGGAAAAGGTTTGCGTAGGAGGTATGGTGGGTTAAAGGAAATCTATGGACCACTTGCCATTAGTCACCACTCTCATCAGAGATAACGTGCGTGTGTTTGCTGAAAGTGCAACATGGTTTTTCTATGGGGAGGCTGGTTAAAGGATGACAGTACAGTTGGTGAGGTGAGCTGACGACAGAGCAGTGCTTGTGTAAACCCAGCTGTGGTGCACGAATGAGTCTCAGCAGAGAGTTTTTTTTGTTTTTTTTTAAGTAACCAGCAAATTTGATGAACAGTAAGAGACCTAAGAAGCCTGCACTGTTCAGGTTTATTAGGTCCACCTGTACACTAATATCTTTCTACCACACTGCTTCTCATGCTGTTTCATTTTTGATGATTGTTTGTCTTTGCAGCAGACATGCTCAGGTACATTAGTCCAATTACCCGACACAGAATTTCCTTCATATTGTCAGTTCTGAAAACAAATTTTGGATGAAGTGCCCATGCAGTTTACCAAAAGTGTAAGCATGTTAAACCCCATGTTGCATTTGGTCAACGGTAAGATTGCTGACACTTAGTATATAGACACAAAGAGTGTGGGCGAAGGTTTGGACATAGAAACTGAATATTTATGAATTCATAGTTATATTTGTTGTCAGTATATAGAGACGTCAACACACACTTTGGTATCATGTTTGCTTATATTTTAGCAAACACTTAATGTTTTAATTATAGTAAAGTCTCATTAAACTAAACATGGATATTTTGGCATGTGATTAAAAAAGGACATGGTTTCATAGTATTTATAATATTAAGTAGGGAAAACAAGCTTCTTCTAGACCCATAAACCTCCTTAGCCCTCTTCCTATCATCACCATGTTTGGACCTGAAACCCAGCACATCTGGATCTATTTATGGCCTCTTTGCTTGTGTTTGCTCTGATGTTTTGACAGCAGACTGACGAGATTACACTAAGAGGACATAGAGCCCCTCTCCATGGGGGCTCTGTGGGTCAGTGGCCCTGTTTAAGCAAAAAGAGACTTTTTTTAGGAATGTGTTTGCAGTGCAGCTGTTCCTCTTATGATATTGGTCCACTCATGTTTTTTTCCCCTGTTTGTTGTCACAGGAAGTTTGCTGAAGACTGAACTTTCATAGAGGAGGAACCTCAAAGGGGGTTTCAACCCCTGACACCCCACCAACCACCCAAACCTCAATACCCCGCCTCTTACACCCGCCCTGCTGAGGTCACTTCCTGAGAGAAGTAGGAGGAGCTAAAGGTTGGTGGATCATTGGACGTGACAAAACAAGTCTGTAAGTGTGGTTATGATTCACTTTATTTTATTAGTTTATTTGCATTATATACACCTTAAATTCCACCAGCTATTTGGAGATGGTCTTTGTCTTTTAGACCATGTTGTGGTTTTGGGAAAAGCAAAACCATTAGACTTTAAATTAGAGTTCAATAGGGTGTCCAGGGCAGAAGGCCATGGCCGCTGTGCCCCCTCAGTTTGGCCTTATGCCCTCAAAAAATGATATGCCCTGTAGCCACAGTGGCTTTGATGCCCCGCCCACACTTCGCCAGCTGATTTTGAAGCTTTCTCTTTTGCCTCTTTCCTGCAAATACAGTTTTTAGACACAAGTGTCTTTTGTAGAGATTTTAATATTTAGTGGGAAACATCAAGTGCTGCCCACATGTTGGGTTTGATTTCACTGAGTCGCTCTGTGAGCCACTTGAGCAGCCCAAACAAGAGTTGTTTGCCCACTTTGATTATGCACCGGCCCACATTCTGCTCCTAAAGATCCTCACTATCCCTCTGTCAGCACCCCTTAACTTTGACTGACTTTCAGCATCCCTGATGAATGGTTATGGTTATTGACCAACATTAATAAATTAGAAAAAAAATAGTAAATATAAAATCATTCTTAACCCATAACATAAATTAATAATTTCTGTGCACTTAAACATATTGTTTTATTTGATGGCCTTGTCCCTCTGGCATGAATGTTATAGCCAGCATCCAAGATCACGTTATTTAATAAGAGTTTAGCATTCCTAACACTCAAACAAGCTGTGTGGGTGTGGTTTGATCAGATTTGAGTGGCAATGGAAACTTCATGGCAACATCAGCAAACAGTCGAACAACTGTGAAATTCAGATTTTGATTGCTGTGTACAGAAATGAGGCATTCCTTCTTTCCAACTGATCTTGGCCTACTTCAAACCATGGAGTAGAGCTCAGGCAAAAACTTAAATACAAAAATCTCTTTTAAACAGTAACCAGAATTGATCTGACTTGATTGAGAAAATAAGGGCATCTAAGAAACAGAATAGCATTTGATAGTATTTCATGAGCACTGGATACTTTTTACTCATTTCTAAAATATTATGCTAGCTTGCCTACTTTGCACAATTGAAGACTGCACAAAATGAATTTGTATAAAAGCTACGTCTTTTGTACTCAGGTATTTTATTTCACTTTGCCATATTTAAAGCTGCAATAAAGGATTTGTTTATAACAAGCTTTTAAGTTGGAGATTGTAAGTCTGATCTCCCTACCAACTCCTGAGTGAAATATCTGTCTCTTTAGCTGATAAATGCCCCGCTATGTTCAACATCTAGTCGCTAACTTTGTCTGTGTGCCATTTGGTGCAGAGCAGATAGTTTAGTGGGTTTTTATAGCTTTTTTTTCTAAAAATGACTTGAAAACCACGCTGTGAGAGCAAACCAAAACATTAAAGTTGTAGACAAGACAACTAAACAATCAGCTGAAACTCTTATAAAGCTCTGTTAAGCCAAAGGGAGCTGCAAAGTATTCACTGTAGTTTCTTCACAATATAATTTTAAACAGTATTATGAAAATAATGATTATATTCCCTTAATGTTATAAAAGTTATTTTGTGCAATCTTTCTGTGTCACTAATTTTTACCAACACATTTAGTGTTGGTGTGAAGGTCTGTCTAACATTTCTCCATGTTTTATTCACACAGTCATTCGCAGAAATTCCTCACAATATTTTGGGTTGTTGAGGTGAATGTAGGAAACAATGACATCATTTGTGTGCTATAATTTCAAGTTCACAAATTGAGGCTGATATTGGCCACATTAATGGAGAGAAAACTGTCTGTCAGTTAATGGCCTTCCCCTATTACACCATACCTGATTGTATTAGCCAGTGCAGGTCATGATTTTGAAGTGTTTTTCCAAAGTGGCAAAAGGACTCTCGAGAGCTTTCAATCACAGCTCTGCCTCACACACCCAGGTAGACAAACAAACATGTAGAAATGCTTTATGTAACAAAAACACATTGTTTTTCCAGGGCTAGCTGAGGCATTGTCCCCTTGAGCTCCTATTTGCAGCAACTTGACAGTACAAATGCTCACGTTGGGCAATGTCTTTATTAATGCCCCCTTTCAAAGCACCACTATTGTGCTGAGATCCCTCTTTTGGCTGGCCGTGCATATGTGCAACACGGGGCCATTGTGGAGTATTGTGCGTCAGTCAAAGTAAATGGAAGCCCGCCACTTTTGCATTGCTCTCTGCTGACAGAAGGGAAACAACACATGATGTTTTGGTAAGAAGCTTGAGTAAATAGGAGTGAGGTGTTGAACTGCATCGCTGGCATTGTGGTGGCATGAGGGCCCTGATGTGGACGGGCATTTTCTGCCTGTCATTATTGATGACACAAAGACTTATCAAAAGGGGTGAAATGGGACAGAACAGCAGTCAATGCGGGTGCACAGGCGTGAAACATGATCAGACCGCTGAGTTGAATAGAGTTATTATCATGCCAAAAATGTGTGAGAGGGATCGGGGCAGAAAAAAACTGAGTGGCATTGCTTTCATATCTTGTCACCCACTCACTCGACAATGCAGGATCTGTGTCCTTCCCACTGTAAGTGAAGCATAGTTTGATGCATATTTCAGATGTATGAGCATTTCATAGCCCACATGCTTTACAGGAAAAAACAGAAGATCTTTGTATACCAAACCAAAACTTTTACTGTTGGTAAACCCTGCCCTCTGTCTCAATTTGCACAACTTTACAAGCACATCCACTGAATTAAAGCTGGGGTAGGCACTTTATTTCAAGGGCATTCAGGGCCCGACAATAACGGTGACCTGATGGCCCGGGGCCAGTAAAACATTACGTCGGGACAGTTGAACTAGCAACTCGGTGGCCCGATCGGGCCAGTGCAAAAACATTAGTATTTTAAAAAAATAAATGAAACTCAACATCCTGCAGTTGTTTTGCAGCTCTTGGCGCGCACCGATGGTTGTCAAATGTTATTTCTCTAATCTGAATCATGCGGCAACCTCTGGGTCGAAAGTGAAACTATGCAGACGGAACTTAAAGCTGCATTCTCTCTAACGGCCAGCAGGGGGCGAGTTCCATCAGAAATAATGGTAAAATGTTGCTACGTGTCAGCTGATTTATTACCTCAGTAAACACTTTTAAATGAGTTTATAGTCTCAGTCGCTAGTTTCAAGTCTCCTTCAACACAGCATTTAGTATATTATGGTCTTATTTAGGGGAAAATAGACGATAATGCAGCGTATGCTTTTGGATAGGACTGCCTTGTGATTGACAGGTTGCTACCATGGCAACCTGTTCATCAGGATAAAGGCAACTCGTGTCCGCTGCTCTGTACACTTTTCATAAATGGCTGTCAGCAGGAGAGCACATCATGTTTGAGTCTGTTAGTATGTTTTGTCTTAAAAGTAAATTGTTTTGTAAACCTTTTCATAATTTTAACTGTGATTACATTTTTTTTTTTTTTTTTTTTATATCCAGGATGTATTTAATAAACGATTAAACACTTTTGGAAGGAGGGACAATAAAAAATGTCTTTGGGCCGGTGGGACCAGTTGCAAAAAAAGTTTAACGTTGAGCCCTGGCATTTTTTGTTGTATTTGTTGAAATTCTCTTTAAATCCCAAAAATCAATCAATAACTCAAATGCTCTGACACGAAAATTTAAAAAATCTGGTATCTGTCGCTGTTGCAGGACTGTAATTAGCTACCTGCCTGTCTAACTAGATGCACTCTGCCTTTGCACTCTCTGCACATGAACATGTGTTTTGGAGGAAGGCCTGAAGGGAGGTGTGGGATTTTTTTGATTGGATACTTTTTAAAATCTAGTCCAACTGTCTCTTACTAGTTTGCCACACTAAGAATGCAGGTTTTTTTCGTAATTCTTAGATTTTTGGGGGGTTATCAGACAGGAATGACTGGCAGAGAGAGGAGGCATGTGACAAAGGTCCCGGTCCAGATTTCTGGGGTGTTGCAGGTATGTGGTTTGTACCTGAGACAAGTGAGTCACCTGGACGACCTCTGTGAATATTTCTTGTCTTTGCCCTCTAATAAACCCCAGTTGATCTCTCTCCCTGTTCGCCCCGAGGGTGGCGGTCTTTGTCAGTGTCCTTATTTTCGTCTTCCTTCCCTTTCTTCCTCATATTCTTCCCTGAGTCGTGCTCTTTCTCAATGTTAAATGAGGGCATGGCCACACTTGGATGTGCTGTGACAAATTGGCACAGAGGAGGCAGATGGTGATGGGGAGGAGACTGGTTGTCATGCCATTTGCTGCAACGACATGAATTGATCTCTGTGCTGCAGAGCAACCACACATGCTCCACTTGTGTAATCCTGACTTTGGTTACCCCATGAGCACATACACCCCAGCAAACTCTGACACACATGCCACCCTACACCAGACTTCCGTCCCCATTAGTATCAATGATGTGTGCAGCGGAGTCGCTTGCTAACTGTCAGAGGCTCTCCGCTTGGCTCCGCTTGAAGAGGCGAGGGGATGCTGAGGGATTTGACAGAGAGACCGAGCTCAGACTAATGGTAGGCTGGTGGGACTGGGGGAGCTGCATCACATAGCCTACCATAGGGGCACATTCCATCACTGATGTATTGTACATGTAAGCAGGCTGTTCTATTTACAGAGATGCTGTCTTAACAATGTTTACCCACAAGGTTTTGCTACAGCTTGACTAAAATCCCCATGGCTGTTTTTCATTGCAACATGACTTCTGGTAAGATCATAGTTTGTCTGACAGGACTGGCATTGCTCATTAGGCTGTGTCCCAGGGATGTGAATATGTTCCCCATTTGGCATTTCTTTTCGACTGCGTTGAGCAGGGATTTTAAAAATACACCCATGTTAGCAAAAATCACATGGGGCTGCCAGGGAACAGTGCTCAGAGGAGGAGAAAATTTTTAAATGAAGGGACAATCTTTCTTAAAGGTCAACAAACAGAGCTTTACTTGCTAATGTTGGTCCTCTTGACCCTTTTGCAGAAAACTT